ATATTTTTATAAATAAGTTCTGTTAAGTATTAAATATACAAATATAAAATTATAAGTATTTATTTAATTAGATATATATTATTATTCCATTAAACCTATTGATAGGTAACTTATGGCCTATAGGATATGTAAATAAATTAATATTTTATTATTTTTAATATTATTAAATAATTGGGTAAATTAAAACGTTTTATGTTCTTTGTTTATCGTTATGATATCATTATTCATAACTAATCCTTACATATTTTATTCCGAAAAAATATTTTATTGATTGTCTATCACATGGAAATATTTTAAGGGGGAGGTGAAGAGGCGATCGCCCCATTTGAATCAGTATTTAAGGAATTGATTATATGTGAGATACACAATTCAAATTTTTTTAATGTGGATCATTTTATAACGAAATCAAATTACGCGTGGCTGTGAATACTGAATTGGGCTTTTTGTCGGGTCCATACTTAGTGAGAAATTAAATAAAATACAAGCGTAACTTTCAAAACACAGATAGGTGTTAAAAAATAACTACACAAAAGTCGATGCTAAGTGGATCCGTCATTAGATTAAAAAAAAAAAAAACACAATTATTAAGGGATTAATCTGATTTAAATATTACCAAATATTTTACTTGTAAATTTTGAGCCTGATTAAAGAAAAAATTTGAGTCCCCCCCCCCATAGAAGTAAGTTGAAATACCCCCCTGGTTTATCGTCTATAAATATTAAATATTAAAATATATAGGTAACCATAATTTTTTAAATATTATGAAGTCAGCAAATTTAATCAGTTGCCCCACCCCTTCAAACGTTGAAATGACGCTCCTGGGTTGCCGCAACAAAAATGTATGTGTATGCATTCACCTTCTACAGCTGCTTCCGCTACGGTAAAAAAAAACGAACGTGTGCATTGGGTCTTATGGTTGTATACATAAAGTAATTAAATAAACAATTAAAGATAAATGTATTACTAAATGTTATTTAATAACAATGCTATAGTAAATTTTTTGTATTTTTTTTTCAATCTTATGTTATTCATATATGTACACGATTAAAATATAACATTTTAATTTTACATTTGGCTAAGAGCGATTTGCTGTATAAAGACAAATTTTTGAAGTTTGGTTTTATGAATATCATAAATCATCTGGGCTTAGTGCATCCTCAATATTTGTACTGTTTGCATATTATATCAATCGAATCTATGAAAGTTAATAAACTCAAAAGACATCTTAACATTTGTATTTTTGGAAAGAACATCAAAATAAAGTAAGACATATGTGACTATCCATCCATAACCAATACACTTACTGTTTCTTTATTAAAAACTATCAATACATTAATGGACATTAATGTAGCTTGGAAAATTGCACACTCAAAAAAAAAAAACCTTTACTTAGGGAGGAACTTATGAAACCAGCAGCTATTTCAATGGTTAGAACCATCCGTGGAGTTGATGCAGCTAATAAGTTAGAATTCATTCTGCTTTTGAATAACACTATTAAATGAAGGATAGAACTTATGGCTGAAAATATTTTAAAACAGCTAAAACATTCAATTACTCGTATTTTGCAAACAAATTTTTAATTCAAATCGATAAATCTGTTGATCTTAATAATAACGTACAATTAATGGTATTTATACGTTATAATCATGACCATAGGCGGTACTAGACCCTATTGACAGGGGGCGGGGGGGGGGCAGAAAATACTTTAGGTAAAATATTAACACTATTTTGTCTAAATCTTCAGACTAGCAATACTATAAAAAAGTATTTTTTTGATAACTATTTTAACTTTTTCAAATAAGATTATTTTGTAAAATGAATAATACACTTACAAATACCTACATTTATATCATTTTATCTTATAAAATTTTAAAATAATAACTTATCACAATTTACTTGTGATGGTTCTCATAGGCGGACCCAGAGTGATACATTTGAGTGTGCCCTGTTATTTTTTGTTTGTTTTTTCAAAATATAAAGAGGAGGCTATAAATACGTACATGTAGACCGTATTATGATTTAAATTCTAAAACTAAAGGCTTCGTTAATGATATAAAATAACGATTGGTAAAATATACACGTAATTATTATTTCAGACTTATTCTGAACACTTGCAATATTACTTACAAAAAAAACTAAAATTTAATTAATGTGTATGCACATATATTCTTAATTGTAACTATTCGATTTTTTTATTCACATTATTCACATTAGGGTGCCAAGGCACACCCGGCACACCTCGTAGAGCCGCTTATGATATTATTGTATGAAAAATTCGTATAAAGTTTTTATTTTTTTACTTTGGTTTGTGTTCAGAATTTTTGTTATAATTAATATTATCCAAAAAACTCAAGTCAAATCAAAGTATAAAATCATACAAAACGTTTAAGATACAGATAATAATAAAGTAATAATATTGGTTCATAATTTGTCAATGATAAAAATAAATTATAATAATACTGAAAATGTTGACGCAAAAAATCTTATCAGCATATTTACATGAATGGCTCCCACGGTTGTAGATAATAATATTATTACTTACAACTATGCAGACTCTAAATAAGCATGTAATATGAGGGGTTACCAACCAATAATTGAAATGTATAGGGAGAGTAAGAACTCGTAGGGGAGGCAGCCGCCTACCTTGCCCCTCCCGTAGTACCGCCTATGATCATGACGATTATTTTGAAGAATTTTTATTTTGTGATGCGATGTCTATAACTACTACTGAATTAGATATTTTTAAAAACATTTTCGAAAAAATGACCGAGTTTGGACTGACTGTATTGGAACATGCTTGATAGTTGAATTAAATTTTGTAAACAAGTTCAGGAAGTTAATCCAAAAGTTTAATTATTCAATATTTATTACATAGAGATATTTTGGTAACACTAACAATTCAACCAGAATTTTATGCATTTATATAGTTCTTTATGATATTATTTAAATAGTAAATTTTAAAAAATTAAGGGCATTAAATTCAAAAATATTCCATGCTATGTGTGACGAGATGGGATCACTGTTTGTTAATTTACTTTATCATTCAGATGTACATTGATTTACCCGAGGAAAAATTCTTTCTAGTGTCATGTCCTTAAATATAAAAATATATATTTTTCTAATACAAAAAACACTATTCATTGGCTGAAACATGTAATGATGATGTATGGATACTCGAATTGTCTTTTTATGTGATATTTTTGAACCGTTTAATGAGATGAATGTTGAAATTCAAGGAAAAAATCGGACAATGATTGATATTGGTTAGAAATTATTATTTAAATTACTAGAATTATATTTTTTATTTTTATCTTTTTATAGTTACATGTTAATTTTAAACTTTAAAGCTAATTTCATAAAGGTTGAGAACCACTGTTTTGTATTCTAGTGTGTAACCTATGAAATATAAATTTTTCATTCCTTTAAACTTTTAGAAAGTGTCCGCTCAGGGCAACAAAATCCATAGTTTCTAACTAAATACGTCCCTGCTTAGTACTACTTATAGTTTTATTTTCTCTTACAATGTAGTAATACTTATACAAAGAAAAAAAAAAAAATAAGCCTAACATCACAAAATAAATATTATGAACTTAATCACCCCTTATGTTACATGATATACTTGTAAATAATTTTAACTTTTTATCACATTTAATAAAATAACTAATATAAATTTTAAAATATTTTTCTTATTAATCAAGATATTATATATAGTTTGAACTTTAAGGTGATGTCTAGAATGATTAATCCCTAAACTAAGTAGGCTTATGTTCAATACGTTGAGCGCGCCTGTTATCCAAACTGGATATCTATTCCAGATTCTGTCGTTTCTGATCTGGAACGAAATCATGTGTCCCTGGATCTGGTGTCTCTTGATCTGAATCTGGAGCACCTTATCTAGGATTATCCTTTTCGTCATAACAGCTGACAACCTTTACCATTTCATGTGTGATACGTAGGTGGTAGTTGAAAACCGACTCTTATTTTTGGCATTCAACTCATCCACATAGTAGACCTCCGATGGCAAAACTTCCATAAATTAATATCTATTCTGTGGTTTTGTATACTCCCCAGTCGGACTTGTGGCTTTTCCTATTAGAACCACCTCTTCGACAGCATAATGGGTGTTTTCGTGTCATTTTTTTTCGTAAGCAACTTTCTTTCGCTTGCTTACGAGCTCCACGATTTTGCGGATAATTTCTCGCAGCTCTTCAGGCTGTTTTCTGTTATTCGATGTGGTAGACAGGGTGTGTAGAAAGGGCGTCTTGTGAGAATCTGGGACCATATCTATTACAGTTTGACTAAGGTCAGGAACTACCCTATACTCTTGCCGTGGCAACTCAGCTCCTTGAACCAATATAGGCCCTCGCTTATTTCATGTGTTCAACTTTGTCCGAAGTTGTTCAACTTCATCTAACCATGACGACGGTATCGCTTGCTGGTTAAGTCGTTACCGAAGTCACGTGACGAGAGCAAACAACTCCGTATACGTCGAAGCCTTAATGTTCTAATTATCCACTATGGGAACATTCAAGTATTACGTCAGTAAATTGGAGGATGGGGGTTTGAGAAATCAATCTGATTTTACCTTACATGGGAAGAGGTGTACCCAAATCTCAAATCTGACGTTGACATCATATCTATCAAAATTCGAATTAACGCCCGAAAAAAGCAAAAAAAAAAAAAATAATAAATAATTACGGAAGACATTATTCTTATTATTATCTTTTTTTCGATAATCGAAGAATTTAAATTTTATTCGCCAGTTAAAATGACGTTTACCCGCGGCGAACACGTTATCTATCCGTGCGACTCAAATAGAGGGTCTGCAAATGAACGAAACAAAACCGTCAATCCCGTAGTCAACGTAAACATTCGATGACTTAACTATTTTCGTTGTTTTGCGACCACCGCACTTACCGCGGTAGTCATGCACTTATTGATCGTTTGCGCGGACGAATGATGACTAATTTCAGAGTCACATGAAACGCGGTTTGTTCTACCGCAGCAGTGTTACGATAATGCACGCACGTCGAGCCCACACGTCGTACCCGAACGTTACGCTTCGATGTGCACTCGTTGTACAGGTACAATACGCCAATAACGCGCGTGAAATACGGTTTACCCGCGACCGGCAGGTGTATTATAATCGTTTCACCATTACGTTTGTATTACGAGCACGGGAGTGGGTGTGCGAGTGGGATAGGTGGTTGTTTATTATGTTATAATGTCGTTAACCGCGTGTGTACACTCAACCGAACCGAACGCATCTGGTTCGCATATAAATCGTTAATTGTTATTATCGTAAATATGCGTCACAGTCGTGGACTGTTCATGGCGTTAGTAAGTAAGGGGGGTGAGTCTAAGGGTTAGTGCCCCCCCCCCTCCCCGATTGCTATTATTGGATTACAGGTGCTCGGAGGTGGCGTGGAGTTGAACTACGGTGCGAAATGAGGGGAAGAAGAAAATGCAAGGGTCGCCAGAGAGGTGGAGAAGATAATCACGTGTCTCGGAAGGGCTTCGCGTGCCGTACCACCACCACCACCACTACCACTACCACCACCACCACCACCACCACCACCACTTGCACCATCGTCTGCGCAACCGATGTATCGTATGTGTGGCTCGACTTGCGTGTGTGGGTGCGTTGTATTGTTTTTATTTTTGTTCATTTTTTCTAAGGGTCGCCTAGCTAGGTCACCTACCGGGACACGAACAGTACATATTACCGTACGGCGGCGGAAAGACACAATTTTCTTATACAAACGATATTGTTCTCGCGATGACCGCCGCCGATATGATACCGTCGCGAAGATTGAAACGTTGCAAGCAACTAATAATACACCGCGCGAGGGATTAAAATGCACCTGGTTGCTGCACCGCTGCGGTTGTCGTCTTCGGCTGAATCCGAGAAATCGCGTTGACCCGTCTTCGAACGCAATCGCTAATACCGTGGTTTCGTCATACGTATTCATCTGTTATTGTTGTCCACGGTGCATTTTTTCAAGCGAGCAAGTAAGTGATGACTTTGCCAACCAGCGAGTGTGCTTGTTTTCTTCTGTTTGTCGTCCGGCGCACGATTCCTACCTCAACTATTAATTGCCGACCATTCAAATGCGTCGTTTTCATATTAAAAGTTCATTCCGAGAGCGTTGGATTAAAGAAATTTTCCATTTACTATTGTAGGTACTGTTAAGCTGATTTATATTTGAACAGAACTCCTCCGACTAACCGTTTATTTTTTCCTTGTTTCTTCACGCACTAGTAAACACGTAGTTATTCGTAGTACTGCTAGTACACTCGTAGTAGGATAACGTGGTCCATAAATTTCTTTCGTGTTGGGCGGACGACCCTAAAAAAAAAAAAAAATCTAGTATGCTTAAATATAATAAGAAATAATCATACACTTTAATACGACTCTACACAACTCAATTCTGGTAAATAAAATTGTACTTCGATAACAAAGATATTTTATTTTCATTAGCATACGAACAGCGATTCATCAAAAATATTTTGCGACCCAATGTTGGGAAACGCTGGTATACAAAGTATACGTTTAATTCGGGTTTTGAGTTTTGACATAGTGTGACTGTCGCAGTACAACGGGTAGTCCCATTAGTTTCTAAGTGTACGTCTACGAGTACATCATGTAAAAATGTCGCACGCTTTTATCTCAGTATATACGACTCTGACTCGCAAGAAATCCTATCATAATATCATATTTAAAGCAATGGGAAAAGATGCACCTTTCGTTCTCGTTAAATGAGAAAAATCTTCGTGGGATACCCTGTGTAATGTTTTTCTATGCACCTTATCACACGGGAATATGATTTTTTTTTATTTTGCATGTTACAACTACATGAGCGTTATTATTTTTCATTCTTGCAAATCTCTGGCATATTTCTGTTGCACGTATGATATTTTTAGTTTTTCGTTAGGTTAGGACGTACTACGTACGTACGTAATATATACTATACAGAATTGGATCCGCACCATTTAAGAGTTCTGACTAGCAATGGATCAATACTTGGGACAGAACAGATAGCAAACACCTTAAATAAATAATAAAATAATAAATATTAATCACACAATCTTAATAAATAATTGTATAACGCTCCCACGTGTACCGAAGATTACATACATTTAATTCCATACGAAAATGAATTTAATTTTATATTTTCGAGTGAAAGTAATTACGATATAACTACCACATGTATGTACTGTACATAGTTTCTTGTTTATAAATCCGCTTGTGCATGTATGTCGGTACGTAATTTGAGAAATGTATGTTAATTATTTCGAAGTGTACGACTTGAATGTTAATCATAATACCATAATGAGTTGTATTGGTTGAACTAAACATTTAATAATTAAACTACAATATACATATGAGTTACGTTCTATCCTGATATCATGTGCACGTACGTAGGTGTACTACACTCATGTAATCTATTAACACTGGTATAATAAACTGTGCAGCGTAAAATACATTTCAAATGTGCGGGGTAATTTGATTTAGAGTTCTGAACTATTATAATTATAAATATTATATATCTTATCCTTGAGACGACGTAATGCGAACATGTTACTTTATTATTATGAACTCCTTTGTGTATAACGCTTATACGTAGATTAATCAAGAAATAGTACATTTTTATTGGGACGTATTTCAGCGAGTACATTTACCAGTCTAGAACTTTTAACACTAGTTAATAAATTAAAAATTATTTCAAAATATGTTAGAATCATGCAAATATTTATCGAGTTATAAATTGTTGTTATAAAAAATAAAATTAAAACTAGTTAAATTTATAACATTTACTTTAGTAGATATTTTTAAATGCGGATCTATTGCATTAAAATTATCAGGCCACTGATATTTGTATTTAGCCACGGGGAAGTTTTTGACACGAATTTATATTATGAATAGAGTATATTATTTTTACTAGAAAAGATAATAAATACAAACGTTATGTGTCGCTATTCGCATCGGAAAAATGTTGTAATTTATCCGATGATTATGTTAAGAAAAAATAATAAGTCTTTTTAAAGTGTAGTTTCTGATGAAATATAAGTATATTTATAAATATTCATATAAATTTCCATGAATATTAGCAAAAAAAAGTCTAACTACTGATATCAGTTAGGTCATATGACAATATTAAAAGGTATACCTACACAGACAGATGCATGATTGGACATGATTGGATTAAGTGCGGTAATGCAATTTGTAAACGTTGAAATTTCGCATTCTAGTGGTGAATTTTTCATTAAATTACAGAAACTCCGTATTTGATTAAATTTTTCAAGCATTATATAATATAATAATGGTGCTATTTCTTGTATAATATTTTCATTAGGTAACCTTTACGAAACAGTATTTTATTATTTGTTTTTTGTATAATTTTGTATATATTATAATAATTATTATAATATGAATGATATTAATTGGCCAGTGATGTGTAGTATGTATTATATTTTTTTAATTTTTTGATTACTTTGATTTACACTTTGATTACAATTTTTGATTACAACAGTCAAAATAAAATCCTGACAGAGTAATAAGGTTATACATTAAAATTTTTGGTCGAGATATTATATTATTGAGCGAATAATAATGGAATCAACTTCTGAATTATGATGACAAACAACTATAAACTATAAATGACATAAATATCATTTTTAGTTTCTAATAACATAATAATAATACATTGTTACTACACAAACGAAATGGAAGTTTTTTAAATAAATTATGCTAAAATATTGTATAGTGTTATATAAGTGAAGTTAACAGAAAGGAGGTTAATCATACATAAATGTACATTGACTTATTATTTATTGGCTTGAATAAAATTAATATTTCCGTAAAAGTCTAACGATAATAGAGCCGTAACAGAATTGATTAAAAATATATATTTTTGCGTAAATTTAATTAAACAACGACTATATAATCAATTTCTTGTTATGCATTTTTTAATTAAATAAAATTTATTACTTGATTGATTATTGCACTTTCATAATTAGGTACCTAAAAAGCTGGTCGAAAAAAAGTTAGATACTATTATAGTCCTTGGAAAACGCATTAATGTATGGAATACAATACATATTATACTTAATTTTGATTTGAATTCTTCGAGTAGATTTTGTGCAGGAAGAATTTTCTATAAGCTTCATTTATTCCTTACAAAGAAATTTGACACCAGTTGTATATTAAACATGTTGTAATTTTAGGAATTATTTAATTATTTTTCAGAAATAATAAAAAAATTTTAAAAATTACTGTCGCTTACCATTAGAACATAACATATTTGCCCAAGATTTAATTTTTGGGGTTTAAAAAATATTTGCATTTTATACTTATAAGTATAAAACTTTAAAATAATTACTAATATTTATAAATTTCGATTTTAATTTATAATAATTTTTGGGATTCTGAAATTTAGTAAATATTATTATAGAAGTGATAGTTTTCAATATTTTATTAAGTTATTTTCTGCTCTGTTTCAGGTTTTATTTTATAAAATATTTAGTTATTCGAACTATTGATTGTTTAAACAGTAGCATTATTTAAACGTACATAAATTGAATGATTGCCTAAACTTTAAATTATATTTACTTAAATTTCATACGAGCTCTACGTGTTACATGCTAAAATGTCAACTTTTTACGGATTTTATGAGTAGACATTTTAGTATTACCTATGTTGGTTTTATTTTATTCATCACTTTGTTTTATATATTTTGAAAATACTATAGTTAAATTAATTATAAAGAAAAGATAATAAGAATTCAGTTGATCAATTTTAGAATTTATTTTATCATGTACTCGCATCCGTCCAAAGAGTACGTAACTCATTTTTTTAAAAAAAATGCATAATGTATGTTATAGGTGACATGTGGTTAGCAAGTGTGTTGCTATTAATCGCGTACTCGATGCACACGTCTCATTGTTTGGAATGCGAATCAAATCAAAACGGACAATCTATAAGTTTCTTTAAAACGAATGGTGATCTTTCAATAACAGGTAAATGGTACAAAGTAAATTGTATAATACATTTATAAAGTTAACATTATTCGACGTGTTACAGGTTTCTTTGACGTTTACGATGAGAAATGTTCAGGCCCGACATCTACTGGTATTCATTCAATGGAAATGGTGGCCACCGTGGTACAAATACTAAATTCGATCCATTACATTCCCGGCATCACTTTGGGTAAATAGAATAATTTATCATTAGAATCCTTATCAGTTAGTTAATGTTTGTCTTTGGTTAATCGTAAATAATTCAATCATATGTATTAGTAACTTGTATTCATACATATATAGCTACTGGAGCACTCCATTCCATTAATACTTACTCTGGCTGAAAACTCAATGCCCTTGGCCACCTGGTGCTCACTGAAATTTATTATAATCCATTTTTTAAGTTTGATGCTTTATTCAAATGTATCATTTAACGAAACTATAATATGTTTTTACGATTCTGATTGTTACTTTTCAAATTTAAACTTCTTTTATTTGGTCCATGTACAGTGGTAAATTAATATATTTTTGCTGGTTTTTTTTCCTCAACAATTGTATACAGTTGTAACAATACTTCTTTTCCTATCTCAATTTCCCATGGATATTTTTCTATCGTGAATATTAATCAGATATTTCCATAGTATTTTCATTAATTAATTTATTTATTTTTTGTATAATTTATCACATTTTGCTCAACGAATACATAAATGATCTACCGAACTAATTAACGAACTACGTATTTATTCTACTAAAAAATAATTCTTTCTCTTATTTTCAGTTGAAATATATTTTTTCCATATTTTATTTCAAAATTAAAAAAAAGGAAAATTTTGATAATTTAAACTTCTTGTGTTGCTTTACCATATATCTTCACTGAATAAGTCAATTCAATTCCTTTGGGTAAATAAAGTTAGACCGATCACTTGAATAATGAAGTGATTGATGTTGTATTCTACACATTTTTGTTTCTTTTATAATCAAGATTACTTATACATTGACTTTATTCGCGTTCATCATAAAACTATCTGGCTGATCCCATGAGTTAAATAGTACTCACCCTATATTGATTTTTATTATCATACCAAAACTTAAATATAGTAATATATGATTACTCACATTTCTATGGTATAAATTCACATAGGAAATAAGTTTAATGTTTATATATTCATAATATATCATTCTAATTTCAATTTGTGTTATAATATTGGTATATATAGAAAGAGCTTAAATTCTGAGTAATACAAGTTTTGTAAAACAAAACAAATTAATTAAAACTTTAATTCGTTCATAGTTCTATCAAATTTTCATATAAGTAATATAAATCGGTCACAAAATCTTTAACATAATATTGAGTAAAATTTATTTACTTATATACAACCACTAATTTAAATATTTTAAAAACGCATTATGTCTTTTGTTTTTATTGAAATCTATAATTATATTTGCTGAAAATTAATTATTTTTATGACAATATAGTATATATTATATGTATATGTTGCATTGTTTACACTTACTATTTTCAAAAAGTGTTAAAAAACTCAAAATAATAATTATTTTAACTTTGACAATATTAATTTATTAATTATGTAGTTTTATTAGGTAAAGCCAAAATTTTAGATAATTTTAATTGTAACATTAAATAAAAATACAGTAGAAGCCGCTTATTAGAAACACGGATAATTGATACAATCGCGTTATTGAAACAAAAGGTACAGGGACGGACCAGTCCATATCCAGTCCAGTCGTATGTTAGAAAATTGAAAATAAATCGGATTATTGAAACATCACATCGATTATTTGAAACAATTGGGCGAATATCAGTTGACGTATACACCGTTCACCAGTGCGATAACCTATGTAATTTAATTTTATCTTTGCTGCATTACGTTTATATTTTGGCTATACTTCTTCTTAAGTGCAGTACGTTCTATGCGACGTATAAGAATAATGCTCTTTCCTGTATGTATCATTAGTTCATCTTCGGCGTGCGTACGTAAAGATGGTTAGTGTTTCATGATTGATGTTTTGTTATTCTAAAAATTTCTAAACGCCAAGATTTAAGTTCTAAACAGAAGTGCGAATTATTAAAATTATACGACGCGATTCCAAAAATTAGTTTACGTGATGCCGCAGCTCATTTAAGCGCTTCTCATCGCATAATAAATACATTTTTCGCGTATTTTTAATTTTTTTTTTCTTTTCATAGTACAAATCAAACCAATCGCTTATTAGAAACAACCGGTTAATTGACACATTATTTCACTTTGGTCCCAAAGTGTTTCTAATAAGCGGCTTTTACTGTAATTAGAAAGTAATGTCCTAAATATTATACCTACTATTAATATTTTTAAACTAAATAATATTATTTTTTTCATTGTTTCTTATTTAATAAACATAATAAACAATAAATGCATGGCTATATAAGTAAAATGTATTCTAAAATTCTTGGGTACACGACATGATGCGTCTAATTAGAAGATTTACTACACCACATCATACAGTCTTTCTTAAATTTAAAGTATGAATACCTTACCAATGTTTTATTTGTTTGCTATAATTTATTAGGATTAACATTGTATGAAGTATGTTCGTCTAGAAGTTCAGATCTACAAAAAGCTTTGATATCGTTCGTGGTTGATCAAGATTGCAATAATTCGACCGTACCTATTGGTAATTATTATAATTATTATAATGCACGCATGCGTAGTTACAAGTGTCGAGTATGATGTATGTAAAACATTAAAAAAGTAAAACTATGATTGAAATGACATTTTAGCTATATATACCACCGAGGATATACGATCTAAAATTTCTGCGAACCCGTCCATTGGACTGGACGTACCTATCGCTGTTGTAGGACCAATTATTGACATTGATATACATGCCGAAGCAGCCGTTAAGTTTTTAACGGTAAATGATATTGATGTCGCGGACTTAATGATAGCACAGGACCAGGATGTTGCTCAAAGGTTCGAAAATGTAGCTAAAATAAATGGATTGTGTTTGAACAGGACTGTTTTAGCTCATGAGATTGGGTAATTATATTTATACATAGCGTTTTATTTATTATGTCTATGTTTTCAAATTTGTAATTTGCGCATTACACATTTAAGTAAAATCAAACACTAATGGAATGGATAGATATAATTTAAGTATTTAATATATTAATATCACATATTTTATTTAAAGGTACCATTATGTATGGGTTAAAAAAAAAAAAAAAATCAGAACTGAATATATATTAATTAAAATGTTGAAATATTACATAGATCGACTCATTCTCTAGTTTATCAATTTTAAGTATATAATTTATGTTTCATAAATTATTTTTATAAAAACCAAAGCACATGCTGTATTTTTTTCTACTAAATATTTAAATTGTATAATAATAGTAAATATATTTTATGTTATTAGTTATAATATCGTCAATTAGAAATTTAGAAATATGTTAAAAGGACTCTAAGTTCTCACTTACGTTATTATTTTGTATTATAATTTACGTAAAGTCTTATGTTCCAGGTATTTGAACGAATCTTCAATAGTCATAATCATAGCAAATAAGAGTATTATTACGTTGATTCTAGAATCATCATCAAATGTTCATGTTTCTCATTTCATTATCATACCATTGGATGGACCACTACCACCTAAACCAGGTATATTCTTGGTCCAATATATAATAATATCTTCAATGAATTGTTTATGTTTTAATAATTAGCGAAATAAAATGTATATTTTAAACTAATGAGTAGGTACGATATAAAGCAGTTATTCCCAGACTTTTTATCTTGATCGCCTATTTCAAAAAAAGTCCTACAAACACCTCCTTAAAAAAATATTGTTACAAAATAATGCAATATTAAAATAAATTTATCGTTTATAAATAAGAATTTGTTTTATCACACTATTGTATAATTTATAAGTATAAATAAGAAAAGGTATCCTAAGGAGATTAATGAGATGGATGTGGTTGGTGTTTGGTTCGATTTTCGTAAGAAGCATTCTTAAGTCCTCACGGTTGGTTATTTGTAACTGTTGTTTTTTTTTTGTGAGTAGATTATTTACTGCAGTACACCCACGTTCAACCAAGTAGGATTATATGGAAATGCCATAAAAAATGTTTGTACAGCAGCCCACAATCCAGGATATAGTATAGGTATCTGCTTTTGTTGCCAGACCACATGGTATCCTTCTTCAAACATACACACGTACAATTCATTTGTCTTACAATGTAGTGACTACATAATTTTGTTGGAAACAATTGAAAGTGTCAACGCCCCCTTTTGTAATGAAATGCTCCCATATTAAACTTGTAACTTCTATTGCTTTCCTGGATAGATCTAGCGCCTCCGAGAAACACTGGTATATAGAGTAAATTAAGTGGTAAAAAATGTATTTAAAAGCAGACCTATGGTATTTTTTTAAAATATATGTTACACCAGACGCAGTTAATTTTTTTGAGTTAATAATAATTTAATAATTCCCTTTCCTAATACATATAACTTGAAACTAGTAATAATATGGATATTGAATACTAGTTAAAACCGTTATCCATATAGTGATCAGTACAAATAAAAGCCACTATTCGTGATCCATAATGAAAACGGAAACATGAAAACCTGGGAAAAAGAAAAAATTACGTTTTGTTTGAAATTATATAAATTCCAAAGTTATTTGCACTGATCAGTAATACGCTCGCAAAGTGTGATAGATAAACGTATTATTACTAAGGAAAAACGTAAGAATTATAATTATATTATATACGAGTGATGCTGTCTGCAATCCATTCATTCATAACTATTATCTAGGGATAATAAAAAAACGCGCAGGCCTTTAGGATTGTTGGTCTTTTGCCCGAACGCGCACGAAACTGGTACAGACGTTCCGACGAACGTTTACCATATTTGTACTATTTTTTTTTTGCGAACAACGATTGCGTCCACTTGCACGCAGAAAATATATTATTATTTAATTTTTTTTAGATTTCGCGTACGGGTCGTACGTGTTTCAAGCGTACGGCAACTGCCCGTTAGCGAACAAGAGCGACGGCGAAGGGCTGTTGACCGCGACCCCGAGCACGAGTAGTAGTACCGCGGCCACGCCGACGGAGGGGGAACAAGCAGTTTCCGCGCAGTTCATGCAGACGGCCGCGGACGTGCTGCGCATAGTGGACGCGTACAACGGTAAGCCGACGGACTACGGGACGGAATGCGGCGGCCGGAACGGAACGGTGGTCGAGTGCGGCGCGGCGGCGGCGGCCGGGAACTGGTCGACGGCCGGGAACCGGTCGGCGGCCGAGACGATCGGTTACGGCGCCGAGGGGTTCGGCCGCGTGCTGGACAAGCTGTTGCTGTTGGACGGAAGCGGCGGCGAGTACAACGTGACGCTGGTGCACGTGACGGAATACGGCGGCGGTGCGGTGGGCGCGTACGTCCAGGACTCGAGCGGCGCGCGACGGTTGCGGGTGGACGGCCGGGCGGCACGGTACTTGGACAAGTGCGAGGCGCCGAAGCCGTGCGCGACGTGCCGGCTACCGTCGACGGAGCCGTGGCCGGCGGTGCCCGCGTACGGTCCGCTGTCGATCGCGTGGAAGGAGGACGTGTGGGTAGCGTGCACGCTGACGGTGTCGGCGGTCGGGGCCATATGCGCGGCGTGCATAGCCGCGTTCATAGTGATCCGGGTGTGCAAGAAGGACGTGATGGAGGGCAACCCGACGTTCTCGTTGGTGCTGATCGCGGGCACGTTGCTCATGTACGGCAGCGCGGTGCCGTTCGCCGTGGACCGCACCGGGCACCCGCACGCGGTCTGCTACGCGAAGCTGTTCGGCACGTGCGCCAGCTGCTCCGTCGTGTTCTCCACGATGCTGGCCCGGTGCATGATGATCGCCGCGTGCGACTGCGACTCCAGCTTCATGAGCCACGTGAACGGGTACCTGCAGACGACGCTGTGCGCGTTCACCATGTGCGTGCAGCTCGCGCTCCTGTTCCAGTTCGCCGCCATACACGCCATCGTGCCGTCGTCCGACCTGTGCCGCGTGTTCGTCGGCGGCAACCTGTTCCTGGGCAGCCTGGCGTACGACGCGCTGCTGCTGGCGCTGCTGTGCGCCACGTCGCCGTTCGTGTTCCGCTCGAAGCGCAACTACCGGGAGGGCGCGTGCTTCGCCGTCGCCGCGTACCTGGTGCTGGTCGTCTGGCTGTGCTGGTGCACCGCGTACGCGGTGCTGCCCCGCCGGTGGTCCGACACGTGCGTCATGGTCGGCTTGACCGGCACCGCGACCGTGATCGTGGTCACCGTGTTCATACCGCGCACGTACATGATGATGTTCGGCATCGTCCGCGAGCAGATCACCAGCTCGCTGCCGTCGCTGGGCTACGGCCACGGCGCCAGCGTCACCGACGTCAACTACCGGTCCACGCAGGCGCTCTACGACTCGGTCCACGTGGCCGCGCCCAAGTGCCACTCGACCAGCTTCAAGGGCCAGTCCAACCCCAACTACTACTCGCCGGCCGGGTCGAACGTGCACTCGGTGCCCAGGAGTCGGCCGCTTACACCGGTCAACGAGTACGACTCACCGCCGCCGTCGATCGACAACAGGATCACCAGGTTTTGATTTTCACCTCGTCGCCCGCCCTTCCCTTACAATCGGCCGTGGACACGACGCGTTACCCATTATCGGCAGGTTTTGAACGTTGCCCGTCCACCCGTTCCGTCGGACGGCTAACGTAATAACACTGTACACGTGTGTAATATCGTTTCGTCCTCTTCGCCCCTTCCATTTGGTCCGCATTGTAGCGCGTCGTTTGAAAATTACGACTCATTATTTCGTTACGTTTTCCGGTCACATTATCGTAACGTGTGTGTATAAGGTACTTAGGTGTTTATAGCCGTCACCCGTTTTCATTTTTTACAAATGTACATAGCCCCGCACGTTTATCATTGGCGTGTAGTCTTGTAACAACGTTTATAGACCCTTGTGGTTTTGTGCTACGGTAACATGGTGTTTGCGTTGCAAAACTGATTCAGGAAATACTACTGCGAAATGTCATTAGATGTAGTTTTTTAATATCTGTAGGTACACCGCAGGTGAGAAGTAACGCGAATTCATATTTATATTATATCGATATGGTAAAATATTGTAACTCCAACATTTTACGAAAGATTTATTATTGCAATTCCTAAATTGCACAAGTAGTAATCTAATGTATAATAATTGTGAAAATGCATTTTTTTTTTTTTTTTGCTATTTATTACTGAAAAGTTACATACTTGTTACTTGCGTTACTGTACTTTTTACTTTTGATGTACGGATATTGGTTAAGTACACTCAGTAGCTATAATATGTAGCGTGCATTAATATTGTTAGTCGACAACGAAAAAATATTTGTAATTTGTGAACAATAAAATATTGTTGACAAATCGTTTTTTTTCTTTTCGAATACTAGTAGCTAATATTTAATATATTGACCACGATCGTTGGCTATTTGAACTTTTGGTCTAAAGAAGTGACATTATTAGATCAAACTTGGTAAACGAGCACGGAAAAACTTATTTGCGTGAGATAAAAATAACAATTACACAGCTGGCTGTCAAATTATTATTACTATGTGGATGAAGACGATGGATAACATATTTTTTCTTTTGAGTCAGTTTTCACAATTTTACTTTATGTGATAGTTGACATTTTTTGTTAAATTAATCATAGAAAATAACATTTAAGACAACAAAGACAGCGGTTGTGATAAATGAGTTACACTAACAGGGACTAAATTGAAGGAGAAAATTGATGATTTAATGTTTGGTACGACATTTTGCGAGGACAATAAGGAAATGGGGATTCTTGTCGTGTTGTGTTGAGTGTGAAAGACAATTAAATGAGGTATAACGAAGGTTGCCGATTATTTTGTTAATGTAAAGGGTACAGAAAAGAGTCATTCAGGTCTAATTCATTTGAACGAATAGGAAGAATGATATTTATGGGTGTGTGAAAAATTAATTACAGCGTTTCATGAAACATTCGTGTTCATATACCATTGATTATAATGAAATGTTAAAAAAGTTTCTTTTGTGAGATTTTAAAATGGCTGGCGTATGTTAATTTGTAACACGAGGAAATTGATATTTTGTAGAATAACTGTGATTTGTAAAAACATTTAACTAAAATTACCGGTTAATGGCTACCGTAGTTTCACTACATGGATAAGACATTACCGGTAGTACTTTGAACCATGTGTAAGCCACTCGGTATGTTGTTATAGTTCTGTTATTAGTGTATTATTATGTGTTAAATCAATGGTGAATTATGTCATTCATAAATTATTTTGATAGCAAATAGGAGTGATATCATACATGAATTATTATATGTATTTCACTTTTAAACAACTATAAACATGTAAAATATTTTACGATTTTATACATATGTGATACGAAACTTAGATATATAAAATGTTCGTTTACTATAATCTTAGGCAACAAATGTGATGACATATGAATATAATATCACGATTAATGGTAGTTATATTACATTAAGTATAAATTATATTATAAATACTGATGTTTACACGAAAACCAAATAAAAATATTTTGAATTGTTTTCCGTGTCGACATTATTGCCATATGGCTACTGTTAGTATTACACAAGAATTTGTCAAGTTGCATTTATTGTGAGTATAAAAAAAAAAATATTTTTGAATTGTTTAGCATTGTCATTTAAAATTATTTACAAAGCTATTTGAAATGTTCTATATTATTGCTATGCTAAAGTATTCTTGCATAAAAAACAAAAAATTATATAATCATAATATACAAAATTATTTAATCAAAAGAAATACAAATAAAAAAAACTTAATTTATAAATATAACAATTCAATATTGGTCACAGTCAAGTCAAGTTAATGACTTCAACTTATAAAATTGAAAAATAATTTTTTTTTAAAAAATTTTATGTAACTCAAATGTAGTAAAAAGTGCAACTTTCTATAGATTAACTAGAATATTTTTGATTCAAATGTGAAAAATAATGTATGTAGTAGATTTCTATGATTAATTATATATATTTTTTTTACACTTTATAATTTGTAAATAATCACAGTAGTTATATTTTTTTTTAAATAATAAATCATTTTTTTTTTAATTATTTGTTTTTAATTCATAGTTAAAATTTTTTTTCCTGTAAATATGCCAATAGTATGCCATATAATCTATTATTTATCCATTATACGATGCTTTGTTTTAAACATGTGCTTAACATAGTAATCTTATATTATAGTATCTTAACGACGTGAAAAGAAGACAATTTAAAATATATCTACATTTCACAAAGTATAGATTAGTATTTAATACTAATTTATGCTTTGTGAATTTTTCCATATGATTTTAAATATTTTAAGATCATTGTATAAATATTCAACAATTTTATTTACATAAAAATCCATGCTTTATTAGAAACAATATGATTGTATGTTTGATGATGCCGAAGTAATTAAAAACACGTTTTAGAATAATAAAAATGTTTTAATTAATATAAAAGTAATTGTAGGCCTTATTACATATAGTATGACCGGTTGGGATATAAATCTCGCCAAGATAGAAAGTTTGGAGCTAGGATGTTCATCATGGCAGTCCTTTCGTTTCTTTTTCTGCTTCATGTGGCTGACTGAGACATCTAACTTGCTAAAATATTACTTTTGCAACTAGGACATCCATAATAGTAGCACAGGTATTTATTGTTCTATTTTTAAGGTCAAGGATAGGATATTTATCTTGCCAAGAAAGGATTTTTTTCAGCTAAGACATCCATTACGTCAAAACAGGAGAATTGCAACTAAAATATCCATCAGGCAAACCTGTTTTTTCTCTCTTAGCTCTATTATCTCCATGATGTAATGGCTGCTAGGGAGATTTAGATATGAGAATATCTATTAAGCTTACTAAGTTTATTTATCAAATTAGTAGGATCAGCTAGGATATTCATTACGTTAAGAACTATTTTACTTAAAATCTCAAACTAATAATTATGCTACTAACACACTACTTTAAAGAATCATGAATTTTGTAAATATTTATAAAATTAATCCTTAGTGTTATATATTTTTTAATTAATTTAAAAATCATGTTTCCACTAATCTACACATATAATATATGATGATGATTTATCTATGTAATATTAATAGTATTTTTATTCATTTTTCCTTATACTGTACAGCAGCGGTTTCCAACCTATTTAGTAGTGCAGAACACCAATTTTGTAGAAAATTTTTAAGGCCCACCAATATTTAGTTATATATGTAGTTATATATTTTGTATTATAGGTATAATGTGCACATACATCATTTATTACAATTTATTTATCAAAAATCAATTGTTTATCAAAAAGTACAAAAAATAAAACTTCATTGAATCAGATTATTCAAGAGTTAAACAATTTAATGTAATTTTGGATTGTTCCCCACGAGATAATCAATATCTGGATTAAAAATGAAAAGTTTTAGCCTTAAATAACTCAAAATTAAATTTATTCATACATTTATTTTTTAAAAAGTAGAAAAAGCTCGTTCACATAGACACACAGGTTGTCGAAATATAGCCTACCAAGTTTAAAAGTTAAAATAAAATTTTAGAAATTATTGGAAAGTCTTGCCGAATATTTAACTAAATGGTGTAGTTTTAAAAAACGATTTTAGAGTTAATCAACTCTTAGATAGTTAGATAGAGTTTAATCAATGAATCTTCTTTACTTGCTAATATTTAATATTTTAAAAATATATATAAGTAATGTTAATATAATATGGTTCACGGTTTAGTACCACTTGCTCGCGGCCCACTTGTGGGCCGCGGTCCATGGGTTGGGAACCGCTGCTGTACAGTATAAAATATTTTTATTGTTTTATAATATACTTTCAAATGCTATGAATTAATAAATTCATATAATTGGCTAGGCTTTATTCCTTATAATATTTTAATATATAAATAAATAAGCAGTTGGGACATTCAATACGCCAGCTCTGAATCTCCTTTCATCGGTCAATGGGGTCGGTTACATATATACTTTCATTAGTTTGATAAAGGCATTATTTTAGGAGACCCATAAAATTAGCCCAGCTTTTTGTTCTTCAATTTAGTAGAACCAGCTAAGACATCCATTTTGTCAAGATAGGATGTTACAACTAGATATCCAGTTTGTTAATCAAGAGCTTTATTTTCTAGTTTTTTTTATTACCATTTGTTGCTAACAAATGTATTAAATCAAGCTCTCGAGAAAATCATCGACATAGCTAAAAAAATAAAATAGAAAATTTTCTTGGTCTCAAGAGTTTGATGGTACAAACGAGCACGCAATATACAAGGATTGAAATAAATCCGAACACCAGAGACAAGAAAAGAAAAGAAATAGTTTTTACAAAGTGGGAGATATACTTACTCGTATTTTACTTAATTTAGTCACTACTTGTACTTAAAATCCATCTTCCTGAAATCCGTGGAAACGACTGAACGGTACTTCCCCCTTATTGGTGAGGTTTATTTTAAAAAACAAAATGTTCTTTTTATTTCATTGCAAATATTTATATCAAATTATATATGTTATATATTTCTTTCGTCGTACCTAAAAACAAATAAAGTTCGATAGTTTGATACTTATTTCTTTTAACCCGTGGGGGCTATGCCCCTACATCACTATACAATCAAAAATTTTATTTTATTTTAAATATTAAATAGCTTTTCAGAAATCTCGATAACCACTAACTGTTAGTGTAATAGATTATAATAGTTAAATCATAAAACTACTTAGTTGTTAAAAATGTGAAGGCTATATTATTTTACTATTATATTATTTTATTATCATACGCCATATGAGCAGCTTTCTACAGTTTTAGCTATAATAGTATTGATTACTGGAATTAATATTTCTAGCCACTATAGGTCCCTAGATGGTCCTAATAACCATTAGAAGTTAGGCCTTTAAGACTACCCATTCCATTTAAGATTTTGTTTTAACAGTAATTGTTAGGGGGGGATGGGTGCCATTGAATGTGTATTATCAACTGATTTTATCGCTGTTGACACACCTTACATAATTGAACTAGGAGATTTTATCCATGAGACTATTTAATATTAATATATAATAATTAATAATAATAAATTTAATATTAAATTAATATTTACACACTAGTTTTCATTGATATTAACTTATATTGGCCAAAGTTGAAGTATCGAAGAAATATTAGTACGAAAAAGCGCAGGGGAATATTTTAGGGGGAGGAGGCGAAGGGGTAACCCCTTCCCCATTAAATCCGCATTTAAGGAATTAATCATATGTGAGATAAACATTTCTAATTTTTTTTAATGTGAATTATTTTATAAAGATACTTAGTGTCCATACCAGGGCATCAAAACGTTTTTTATAACGTTATAAGTATAACGCTAAACTATTTAAAAAGCGATTGAAATCGATAACAGATAATGAAACAGAAACGAAAAACGATTAAAATTAATATCAAATAACATAACAGAAACGATTAACGATTGAAACATAAAAGAAATTGTCATGAAAAAATATTTATAACTATCAGTAAATTAAATTTGCAACATAGTTATTTTTGTAAAATTGAATTAAATTACTAGGTAATTTAAATAAAATATATATAAAAAGGATGTTTAAAACAGCAATAAATTTATCAACTAATAATATATAAATAAGCATTATCAATTATAATTTATATATATGTTTTCTGAAAATACGTCTGATATTGTTTGCGCGGAACCCGTATGGCTTGCCTCATCAAAAATAATTTCGGTGACAATAAATACATATTTTACGTGGTCTGTGCATTTTATTGTTGTTATATAACAAATATGATTGCTTTATTTATAAGTTATGAGTTATGAGAATTACACAAAGAAAATATCGTTAAAGGCAGAGGTGTATTGGTACATATACGTGGGTATACGACGTATTTACATCAGCGGATTTTAAATTTTCGACGTATACCTAATGTAAAATATTATTTTACGGGTATACGCTTCTAAAATAACTCAAAAACAACAAAAAATTAAAAATAATTTAATAGTTCATTGGAAAAAATGTTTATGAACCGTGAAATTGATTGAAGTATTTAGGTGTTAAAGATTACAGTGTGCGCTGTGTATTTTGTTAACTGTAGTGAATAACATCGAATAAAATAGTATGGAGTGTGAACATTCAACCCGTCGTTCTTAAATCTGCATTATGCATTTTATAACACACTGCAAATGTATATCTTGTAATGTTATAATTTATAGTCTTGATAGAAGTTATAAACTTGTAGTTACAAAGAATTAATTAAATTTTTTCGAACGTATCGAGAGAAAACAATTGTCGAGTGAAGCAAGAAAATTTATTTTAGGATTAATAACCATATTTTTTAGTGCGTATATCCACAAATACTAGTATATTTACCAATATACCACTGGTTGAAGGTAATATATATGTATATAATATAATATTTAAAATATTATATTATATACATAGTATTATTTGCTAAATACTACATTTGAAAACGTTTCAAATTTTACACTAAATTAAATAACGCAAAACGCTAAATTGTTCTTAACATTTTCATTGTCAATAACGGTAAACGAAAAATTTTTGAAACGTTTAAATTTGCATAACGTTTAAACGTTTAAACTGAATAACGTTTAAATTATTTATAGCGTTAAACGCTTAATTGCTTAAAACGTTTAAATGTCCCATAACGGTAAACAATATATATTATTTTGATTTAAGCCTTGGTCCATACTTAGTGAAAAATCAAATAAAATACAAGTGAAACTTTCAAAACACAGATAGGCATTAAAAAAAAAAAAAAAATACTACACAAAAGTCCATTCTTAGTGAATCCGGCATAAGATTAAAAAAATAAAAAAAAAAAAAATCATAAATATTAAGGGTTCACTTGATTTAAATATTATCAAAAATTTTACTTGTAAATTTTGAGCTTAAATCAAAGAAAAAATTTGAGTTGCCCCCCCCTAGAAGTAAGTCTAAATACGCTCCTGAAAAAACGTTGATTCAATTCTTAACTAGAGGAAAAATCGCTTTAAGTTGAAATTAATAAAATATTTATATCTTAATCTCGATAAAAATGTATCATCTATGACATGTTTTTTCTTAAAATTATAATGTAAATCTTTTTACTACATAAACATATTATTGTATAATCTGATAAATATTATAACGTGATTATGATGAAAGTTTTATTGCTCTATTTGTTTTATTTAATTTATTAATAATTAATGACGTATTGTTAGTTTTGAAAATTATGAGTATAACTAACAGTTACTTTAAATTATGATTATACATAAGAATGAGAAGTATCTTAGATAACTGTATCTAAGATATGTACGTATGAGCATGAAAGTCAAAAAAGTCATCTAATTTTTAGTATCGGAATCGAACAGAATTTATTTAAGATTTTACATGTTTTATTGTTTGTTGTACAATTAATTATTGCATTTTATTATTATTTAGAATTTTTTTTTTTTTTTAAATAAATTTTCCTATATATTTTTCCAGCTCATTTTTTGTTGAAAACATTTTTTTTAAAAATCATAAATCAAAATTACTATCAGTTTAAATTATTGGTAACATTTAAAAAAAAAAAGAAAATGATTATTAACCTTTCCGAGAATTTATTGTGCTTGAATATACGGGTAAACATTTTAAATCTTATATGTGCAGTATTTATAAATACCAATAACATAAAATTCAGATCACATGGAAGTACAAATCACATAAAAATGACTGTATATTCATTTCGCAATAGGAAATATTTATTATAACATTTTAGCATATGAGAATACAATTATAAAATAATCATTGCTGTTAACTAGCATGTAACCAATCATTATTTTTAATTAGGTTAAGGGAATATATGAAAGGACAAAGAAAAAAAAATGGGCTTCTGTGGTGATTGTGTGACTCGACCACAACGGAAACCTATGCGTTATATTTAGTATTACCTAAATTTAAGTTGTGTGTTTTTGTACATACATAAGATTTGATCGGTATGCATGATATATGAAATAATATTTTATGAAGACCAATAACTGTTTCATACTCCATGGATATATATATATATATATATATATATATATATATTTGTAAATCTGTAGAAATTTAAATTGAATGTGAATTTTATTGTTTCATTGACTTTTGCAAATAAACATAATACAATAATGGTTTGTATTGCATTAAATATATATATACATGTATGTATATAAGAATCATAAATTAAGTTCAGAGACAAAGAACAAAGGTGTGGCGAGTGTGAATTAATTTTGTGCTATGAATTGAGAGAATAATAAATGTTTTATTACTAAATGGCGTGCGTTTAATTATATTTGCAAAATAGTATAATAAAATTAATTATGTTGAATTAATTCAATTCTGTTAAATAAAATGAAAAGTGTACCACTGTTAAATTACCAAAAACTGATTTTTTTTTCAAATAGAATCGAATTATATATATATATTTTGTATACATATAAAGTGATACCTAAACATTTTGAATTTGTGTACATCTTATCATACGCCTGTGCGATAGTTACATGTTTTTATTGAAATAATTTTCTTAGAACTTGATATAAATATAATAAAATATTAAATTATGACATTAAATGAAACATTGAACCATCAAATTGGAAATAAAAATTAGTAAAAGACAATATATATTTATTATTTTACTAACATATATTTTTTCATTTATTTATTATAATAAAATATTTCAGCATATTAAATGCTATTAAAAGTTTGCTTAACATATTCTAATAATATATTTAAACTATATCCACTGCAATTAAAAATATTTAATAATTTTCGCTTTCGTCGAGTTTTTTGTAAGTAATCGGTTTATTAAAGAATGATAAAACATCAGTAGATTTGTAATCGGTTATCAATGTATCGCTTTTTATCTGCAAAAAAAAAAAATGGTAAAAGATATACTTATTGATATGTTATTGTATTAAATACAACACATTTTTCCATACCATATTATTTTTATTGTTTGATACTTTACTTAAAAGTACTAGCAAACAACAATAGGATACGTTCAATATTCCAATAGTTCGCATTAACCATGGAAAACCGAGACATTTCACAAATCTACCTCCAAAAATTGGACCTTTAATATAAAACCAAAGTGTTAACCAATTAAACATAAAAAAAAATGTAATTGAGTTAAAAATTAATACTAATATATTGATTAATGAATTATGAAAGTATTTTCAAAATTTAATTAATTGTTAAAACGATTAAATATTCTATTTGAAATAAAATATGTTATATTTTCAAATAAATGTCCACATATAGTAAAAACTTTTATTATACATTTATGTTCTTTTATATATGCATAACAGAATATATTAAATTGTGAAAATTGGTCGTACCAACAGAATATGCAAGACTGACAGCTGTTTGTTGAAGTGCATACACAGATCCATAGTGTAAATTTGGATGTCTAGTATCCACTAGATTTGCTAGCATAGGAACTAAAGCAGAATCTACTATTCCTATACCCAAACCTAAACCAAAATGTGGACACACAAGTCCTATGATTGTCGTAGCAGCAGGTATCTGTTAAAAAATATTATAATTCAACACATGTGTTTAAAAACAAGTGAGAAAATTATAATATGTACTTTATTTTTAAAAAAGCTTGATTGACTAGATTTTCCTAAAAAAATAGTTATTACATTTCAAAAGTGTCACTATAAAATTTAAAAACAGTAAAAAATCTTTAAGTATCTAATCAAATAGGCCTGAGAAATAGTTCAGAATGTTGTATAAATGTATTTTAAAAATTTAATTTAACAACATACCATAATTGCAGATATACCAACTAGCAAAGTCGCTAATACAGCCATTCTCCACTGTCCAAACGTGTATGATATGCTGCCAAAGAAATTTGTACCAATTAAATAACCAAGACTATCCGGAATAAACACTGTACCCAACTGCCATTTCTAAAACAATGAGTTAGTAATAATTTGTTAAATTACAGTCCAGTTAATCTTACTTCTGGATTTATAGTTTGTATGAGCCAAATGGGTAAAAATGGCTCTAAAATGGCCATGGTAGACGATGTTAGACATATTGCAAAGGCGATCAATAGGATGTAACCATCTTTTAAAAGACTTTTCCAATTTTCGTTGCTGTAGTTAAGCTGCTGACACCAGAAATTTTAAGTTTAAATTATTTGATTTGATATTGCGTCTTTTAACTTCAAATGTGTCAGATATTTACTGGGATCATTTTAATAAGTATTTAATAAATATTTTTAAAAAATGAAATTTTATAAAAGCATTATAAACATATTGTAATTTAAAACAGGTAAATCGGTCTGAAAACAAACAATTAAATATTTACAATAAATGTATATTATTTATATATTAAAAAACAAAAGAGCTTATTAACTTATTAACAAATATATAAATCTAATATATACCTGATGGCTGTTATAATGTATTTGTTTTAATTGGAATCCCTCCTTGCATGAACTTATCTATTGTATAAACCAGTAATGTATGACAGCGTGTTGAAAAAAAAATTTATTTTAAATTTATGAATAAAATCACATTCATTAAACTATGTAATTAGACTTTAAAAAGACAACAAAAATGTAAGATAGTTATTCAATATTGGAATTATAGTACATGGATAAATTATTGAATGCGTGTAATGTTATGGAATTAAGGTAGATAACTATATAATGAATAATAGAAGAATAAATATAATAAAAGAATTACTTGTAATGTTGACTGAGAAAATTAAATGAAAAGCAGGAAGCAAAGAAAGCTAAAGAATTTGGCAAGGAAAATAAAATTTTATTTTTAGAGAACACAGAGCTGGAAATTTGTCTTAGGGATAATAATAAATGAAAGGAAATGTAATTAAGATAGTAAGAAGGAATAAAAGCTGAATGATCATATAGTATATCATAGGTGAGAGAAAAAAATAACATGTGCGCAATAATACAAAAGATTATGTAAAAAAAAAAAAAGGTTAAGAGGACAATCATATTTCGTTAAAAAATATTTTATATATTTTAAACCAAACTGTTCTTTATAAAACAAAGATGGGATTTAATTAAATGTTTCTAAGATAAAACAATTACTTTTTTAAACAGTCGTTTTATTTTCTTTGGCGTTAATTTTAAAGTATTTTACTTAAAAGCACATTTTTATTTAATTATTATAAATAACAAAGTAATTTATTTTATAATTATTGATATTTGAATACTTAAATTAAATAAATGATAATTAAATAAATTAAATAAATTAGTTTTATATTGTTATTTCAAAGAATGACTATGTATTATTTTTTTTTCATTTAAACAAAATTTAATTATGGCTCTTAATACTATTTTAGTTTAGTTTTAGTTAAGTTTAGTTTTAAAATAATACTTGTAAAAATTCTTTACCTGTTCTTCTAGATTAAAATTAAAAGTATACAGTTGTAGTCCTGAAAAAAAGTTTTTTTAAAAGTTAATTCCTTTTGATTAATTAATTTTGAACTAATTTAAGTATTTGGATTTACTATGAATTTTAAATAAAATCACTTTATAAAAGTATTCACTTTATTTTTTAAGTGGATAATATAATTTCATATTTTATGAATATGTATATTTCTATTTATATGTTCTTGTAAAATCTGTTAGCAGTTAATGTTGTCAATAGAAAGATTGAGAAAAGAAAAATTTGTACATAAATTGTAAATTTTTAAATTACGTTCCATATCGATTCTTTTGATTTTTAGTAGTTTTTAATTGTTTAAATATTTTATTTTCGTAGTTGAATTTATTAAGTGTACATGATATATTATTAAACAGCAAAAAGTACAAAGATAAATAACTAGGTGTACACATATAATTAACAGAAACAATATAACATTGTATATACCTATCACTATAAAATTAAGATATGTAGGTAATTAATTTCATAAAAAATTTTTTATTTATTTTTTTTTATTCTGTAAGCTATCTAAAAAAAATAGAGTAGATTTATTATAGTTTTTGTAATTGTCTTAAAACAGTAAGAAGTATAGTAAATACAGTAATAATAATAATTTGCTTTGTAGTTGGACTTCAAAAATGGATTTCATTGAAATTATAATGGTTTTCTTAACTTAGTCCAATAATAATGATAATAAATATTTACATTTTTATTTTGGGTTTAAAAATTTTTTTTTTAAATTTTTAAATTATTATAAAAAATATAAATAATTAATTTTATATTATTTTCTTTAATAAAATATGAGGGATTTGTACGATTAGATATAGAATGATTTAATGAAATCTGGAGGATTTTCATTAAAATTGTTTTGTACGAGTCTCTCATCTTGTTTCTCATAATTAGTACTTAGTACTTTCACTGACAGACATAGTTTTGAAGAGGATGATTACATGTTGACACTTAAATTGTTCATTGCTGGATATTAAATATCGAATATAAATTTCATACTTTGTATTTTGGTTTATAACTTTATTTATAACTAGGAGAAAATTGAATAGGACTAGCAAGATTTATCTTTCTGTTTACCAAGTTAAGTTAAAAGTAACATGATTTAAGGATTTTAATTAAAAAATATCGGATTATTATATGAGAATATTATTGAACTATACTCTTAGCATGATTTTTAGATTTATTAATTTGTTTAATATGTAATGTTGATTTTGTCTTACAACTAGACACATTCATCTTATCTTGTTCACTCAAAAATGTCAATTATTATGCAACACAAACTACAATTTATACATTTTTGATATCGAATATTTAAATGAAATATTTTTAGATAAAGTCATGTTATATATGATGTTTATAAATTAATATTAATATTAATATTATTATATATATTCGTCTATAAAATTAATGATTTATTAAATTTAATGCTTGATGGTATTAATACAAGTACAAATTCCGGCTATGTATTGGTATACAATAAATGTTTTAGTTTTAATGAAATAAATTAGTTTACAACGAGTCTTATTAAAATACTAGTTTCCCCTAAATTAGATTATAAAACAGATTATACAAAAGAAATAATAAAACAATTTATATTTTTTTAGGCCAACTCTAAAAAATCGACTACTTAAAGATACATAATTCATTTTATGAATAATTTTTTATTTGTTTTTATAATTACTTTAGAAAATTTATTTTTAATTATGATTAATTATTATTTCGACAAAAATAAATTTGTTTCCTAAATATATTAAAAAAATTGAAAATAAGTGGTATAATTTTTTATAATTGTTGGAAATAATTTGTCTACGGTTCAATTATATTTAGCAAAGAAAAAAAAATTTCGGATGAACAGAATTAAAATTGGATTGAATTTTTTCAAATTTTTATCATTCTAAACAGATAAATTAAGAAAATTAATGTGGTACCTCTCTATCATAATTAACTTAAAGAACTCGTCTATTATTTTATTAGATATTATAAGAATGTTTGATGCAAAATTACTACTTCATAGTTTAATCACAGGATAAATAAATAAAATATGCTAAGCTATTCAAGTTTTTACCTATAGTAAATTTGATAAATTTTATTTTTTATTTTAATATTGAGATTTTTACCAGGGTAATTCTTGTACACAGTTGTTATGTTCAAAATAAGAAATTAAGATTTCAATAGTATAATTAATTAATAATTTTTACCAGGCGTTGTTGTATAGTCAATTTTGATGCAAGAATGTGTATATTTATTTATTTTGCCTACATAAGACAAAAATATTTTTGAGATAAATAATTCATTTTTTTCAATTAATTAGTTTATATTTAGAGTGTAACAGAAAAATTCGATGTTTGTATTCAAATATTATTTATAATATCGAAAAAATTGACTGGTATAGTCTTATTTATTTATTTATTTATTTAAATATACGGACGTTAGTCCTGTTATGGAAATATCTATTGTAAATCACATTATGTATTTTATGAAATACAAAAGTTGAAAAACTTACCTAAATTGAACGAAATCGCACATATAATAACGTTAAATGGCAGCGATTTGTCGACGAAATCATAAAGTACTCCACCAAATGGATATCCAATTAATACACCTAAGGCTATGCTTCCCATAACTAGACCCATTACTTTACTGCGTTTCAAATCCGACATATGCTTTTGATTAGCAATCAAACACATACCTTGAATTTGATAAATTATATAATATTCGTCTATTGAAATTTTACTAATATCTTAAAGTACCAGATACACTTATGAGTGCTGATGCAGTGCCTTGGAGACTTCTAGCTATTAATAATGTACTGAAAGTTTCTCCATAAGCAAACACTGAAAAAAACAAATCCAATAATATACCTAATTATTTAATTTTTTAAACTATAATGATATAAAAAACACTGTGACACGAGAATGTTATAAATTAGATAAACAAAATTATATTTACAAATAAATAACAATTATATTATTAAAAAAGTTTATATATATGTATATAACGTATATGACTAAGAAGTTTTGACAGTTTTATATTGAAAAATATAATGTAGATAATCAGAATACACATCATATGTGTAATAAGTAGATGTATACTATGTATCTACTTAGATAATTTATATTATGTATTATCTATCTAAATTATTACAAGACATAAGTTTAAATGCTTTAAATACTTTATATACTTAAACAAATTTAATAAAATTATTTTAATATTTCAATTTGCTTTTACTAATAATATTTATAGTGTTAAAATTAAATTAAAATTATTACTTACAAACAGATATTAAAATTAAAAGAACTGATCCCAGGAATATTGGTAAATTATATCCAATATATGATGTTAAGATTCCCACTAAAGGGTTCATAAACAATTGTACGATAGCTTTTGACGATAATAATATGCCTATTGTTTCATTTTCATTTTCCAGTGTTTGCAATTTGATTTTCATTAAAGAACTATGGATACATTTTGAAATAAATGTTTTAAATTTATAATATATAACTAAAAGGAGAGCTGAAGTACCGTTGAAGAAATGATTGATCTTCTCTTGTTGCGTTATTTACAATACTTGAAGTATTTGTAATCCATTGTAAGTACAAATGCTCAGGAATAATTGGCACTAGAAATTATTTTGAAAAATTAAATAAAGTTTATAAAACATTACATTAAAATATAATTGCATTTTAAAATGAGAGGTCATCAGATAATATATGTTAACGCATTTATCATTTTTTGTGTGTTACAGTTCTAAATAGTCAGAACACTGTTACTTAATTTTTTTATTTTTTTAATTATTAAAAGCCATTTAAAATTTTTCTAGTTATATGTATTTCCTTAAAAAAATTGTTATTTAATTAGTTTCATATTCAAAATTAAATAGGAAACTGAAATACATTAATAAGTAGATAAGAAGTCATCAATAAGGTAAATAGCTTTAGAAATATTGATATTTTGTAATTTAATAAAATAAAAATGAAAATAATGGTTAACTTAAATCTTTACATTGATGTCTGTAAATAGTATTATTTTATATAAATATAAGCTCTAATGTTTTTGAAAATTTAAATAAAAATATCTAAAATAAACGTTTAAATATAAATAAAAATAATCTACTGTAGTATATTGAATTAGCTACATAGTTGTATATTTGTGTATATTTTCAAAGAATAATATATTATAGTATTCAAAAACGGTATTTGAAAAAAGACATACAGCCATAGGGAATGAGATGCTAAGGGGAGTTTAACATTCAGTTTTTATATTTTCGATTTTGATCAATTGATTGGTGTGTCAAAAGCTATTTTAATATTTTTTAACTTAGAGTGCATAAAAGGTAATTATTATTGTAAGCAATTAAAAGTGTAATACTTAAAACATATATATGGAATATACTCGTAATTACTACTTAAAAAATCAAATGCAATAAATACAATAAAAAACTTAATGAGTACCTACACTCATTTAGTGTGTATTAAAACTAAAGTTTCAATTAAAAAATTATTAAATAAGTTATTGAAAAATATTTTTACTTCGCTAGGGGTTTAAATAAAATATAATAATCCTTTGATTTTTCGTAACAATAACAGAAATATCATACTTTAAATTGTATGTTTAATTTTTTGTCTGAAAATACTAGGTGAATTAGCTACACAATTATAATAATTATCTATACATATAACAATGAGACTTAGATTTACTTTAGATTATTGCATATTATAATAAATCATATAATTATTGTTATGTATTAACTTATTAAATATTTTATTAAAATTATGTGAAATAAGATTTAGCATGCAATGTTTTATAAGTGGTTCCCACTTATATTTTTAAACTAATCTATTTAAATGACTGATAAATAATAAAATAATAATAATTTATTAGTTATTATAAAACTATATATGACAATGAAAAGATTATATAATATTATTCATATTTATATTTTATTTGATGTAAATTTTATTCGAATTTTGGTGTATAGAAACGTTATATTTTCTTTACAAGAATATTTAAATTTGCACTGTAAACTGTATATATTAATTATTCGAATTATTGTTTGTGAACGGCTGAAACATAATAATTATGGTATTACTTTATCTCACCAACAACAGTCAAAAGTACATTGTCCAAAAACAATGATAAGTAGACCACAACGATCACACCCAAATCGCTTTCCATAGATTGTGATAAAAATGACCTGTTAAAAATTAATGAATTATCATACACTTGATATTTAAATTGCGATCTAATAACAAAATACTATATTAATAAAAATCGAATAGGAAATAAAAGTTATTAAATTTAATTAAAAAATGATTTTGATGGTTAAATTGTACATTCCATAGATGTTAAAAAAATACATATATTGTTTAGTTTGCAATACAATTCATGACAAAAAAAAAAATGTTTATCATATGTTTATATTTAGTACTTACATTCGAGCCAAGTGTTTCACGTAGGTCGAACAACATGTAAATGTATTTTGTTATGGTTAAGTGTGCTTATACTGGGTTACTTAGTTTTCAGAGTCACTGGAAAAATATTGTTTCCTGTCCACTGGACAATGTGTTGTCGTGGTAACAGTCAATTTGATTGCTGAACATGCTGTATAACGTTACTTTTTTATCTTTATTCAACACCAATGGGTTTTGAATTTAATAGCCAAAAGTACTTCCCATAAAAAGGGTCTTTCTGAGAAAATAAAATTCTTATATCTGTAAATATTTATTATTTGCTAATCTTTGGACTTAATTTGTTTTTATTATCTAAGAGTGTGACAGTTCATAAATGTAGAGGAATAATATCAATATTTACATATCATTGTCATTACTTTTTGGTGATCGTATATTGTAACAATCAAACCAGTTGTCACAAAACAAAAGCATTCTAGTAATTAATTCTGTTTTAAAATAATACAGTGTTTGAAGTTAAAATTTTCAGCATTTGTTCAAGTTTTTCATTTTATAGTATTATTTTATTTTAATTAGCTTAAAAAGGCATTTTAAGAACCGTTCAAAATGCCACGAAGCAATGAATATTATGACTACTTGTTTAAGTACATTGTTGTGGGAGACGTCGGTAAGTGGTTCATTCTTTATAATCAAACTGCAATAACGACTTGATTGGTTTTAGTTTTGAAATGTAACTTTAATTTATAATACAACGAAGAAAGTAAAAATATTAATAACTAATAAATCTTCGTATACGTATTTTGCTTTTTATATTATATGTATTATGTATTTTAGGCGTTGGAAAGACATGCATTACTAGACAATTTTTGTATCATGAGTTTGATACTAAAGAGTTAACAACCATCGGTAACATTTTAATATTTTAATAAGTATTATTTATTTTTATGATAATATATATTATTATAATATAATATACGAGTATATTGATAAATTTTATTGATATGCATTGTTGTAAAATAATTCAAAATTACATTTTTAAAATGAACATATAAATTAGAAAAATAAATAAATTGTAATAAAATATATTTTAATCTACATTGAAGGAAAATTCATTTTATAAAATCTATATGTACTACGTGACAAAACATTGTACTTAAACCAAATTTATTTTACAAAAAATGTTTAGTAAATTAAAAATAATCAGTCAAATTCATCAAAATAAATAAATAAATTACAATTACTTGCAACTTTTATGTACAATATACTGTTTTTCAAATATTTATTTTTTTCATTGTTTAAAATAATTATTATTTGGCACTGCATGACAATGATTGTTTCTTTGGTTTTTGTACTTAGGAGTAGACTATGGACACAAAACTTTATCACTTTACAGTAGAAAAATTAAAATTGCTGTCTGGGATACAGCTGGACAGGAGGCATTCAAGTCCATAGCTAGATCATATTATTCCGGCGCTGCAGCTTGTATACTAGTATATAATATTACAAACCGTGATTCGTTTTTACACGTTAGCGAATGGCTAAGAGAAGCTCGTTTAAACTCCGGCTCCAGAATGATGTTCGCTTTGGTGGGCAACAAAATGTGAGCAATATAAATATGTTAAATTTAATATTAAAAAATAACGAAAATCTTAGGTCGGGTGATATGTCACTGTCGGGTAAAATATAGGGGAAATTGATTGATACAATGGTATTGCTGTATTGGTCTTAGATTTTGAGTGAAATATAACTATACAAAACAAAAACGATTCTCAGTGAAAAATGTTTCATGAACCAGTTTTTATTTCTAAAGAAGTTTAATATGGTAATTTAATCAAATTTCTTAGTAAAGTACGTTGAACTTTTAATGTTCTAAATTTCACAAAAAAAAAAAAAAAAAACCATAAATTTTTAGCAGTCGAAAAATTCAAGTGTAAAAAAAAAAAAAGCAAAAAGCATAAAAAGTATACATTTTAATAAATTATTTTGATATAATGAAATATTCTTAAAATATTAATTGCATGCGGTTTATGTTTCGTGTCAATTTAATTAATATTTATAGGAAACAAATAAATATTTATTATAATTTGATGGATATTAGTCGACATAAAAGTTTTGTAACGCTTATATAACTTTTTGTGTCCTTCCAGTAAAATATTTTGTTGTTAACAAATAAAATATAAACATTTTTTAATATAATTTTTAATCCTTAAGTATTAAAGTTACATGTTTTATGTTTTTTATTTTAGTAAAAAATTTAGCGAATTTTTGTGGTTTTTATCGTTTTGTTAAAATATAATATTTAAATGTTAATAAAATGTTTTTTTTTTTGATGAATCAGTAAAATATATGTTTGAGGAATTTTGTATACATTTTCAAACATTTTTTTGTCAGAACGAAAATAACGAAAATATTAAATCAATAATTCATAAAAAGCTATCTTTAAACAGCTAAAAAAAAAAATCGTTGAAAATTATAACATTTATAGTTAAGTTTGATATGATGATATCTATAAGAATTTGGTGAAAATTTTAAGTCTCCACAATATTTTTTTTACTTAAAATGAAAACAGAAATTCGATTTTGGTGAAAACCGGTATTTTATACGATTCGCTGTTATTTTATAATTGTTTATGTTTTTCATGGTTATAAAATATTTCTGGCCAAATTTTTGTACACTGACACAAAAAAATAAAACACTCATAGTAATACATTTTTCTTTTCATCTGGAATCTAAATATATATAATACTTTTGGCATTTTGTTTTATATATAGTTTTGTTCAATATTATTAAATTAAGATGTAAAATTAATACGAGTAAAATTTTGTGGGGAAATATTTATTTTTTTATTGTTACTTTATTGATCTTTTTTGAATTAGTTCAAAGAAAATAAAATTTAATAACTATAACTCAAACTGCAGGTTTATTTCTATGATTTATAACTAACAAAGTTATTAGTTTACAAATCTACTGAAGTTTAACTTGTACTATGTGGATATTAATTTAGTATCATAAATTTGATTTTACTCGTAATATTCAGGTTATGTTTGCTAAGAATAAATAATTATTCATGTGTTTTTATACAAACTGCTTGCAACATCTGAAGTCAATAAAAATATAATTACGTCATAAGTCGATTTTACATAAAATATATTTATTCAAAATATATAATAAATGTTTACAAATAAAATATTAAAAATATACATAGTATTAATTTAAAATATAAAAGTATTAGTACAATAAATACGTATAATATTTGAACGTTATTTAATTAATTTTTTTTACTATCTTAAATTTAACCTGTTTTAATTATACAGTGATTTGGATAAAAACAGACAAGTAGACTACCCTGAAGGTGAACATTTTTCAAACAAAAATGGTTTGTTGTTTTTTGAAACATCCGCCAAAACAGCAAGTCATATATCTGAAGTTTTTGAAGAATTGGCAAAACACTTATACAGAAAAGTTTTAAGCGGTGAAATTGATGTTAACAGACCGGTATGTATCATATTATTTCTTCTCTTGGGTTGAATTATTCTTGAAAAATCATTAAATATTTTTATTCAGAAGTTATGTACTACATATATATTATGTATACCTCACAAAATACATAGAATTTTTTTAATTTTAGGCATTTAATACGTAATGAAAAGCGGTATCATTTTAAAATCCATGTAACTGTAACTTGGTAAAAATATATTTTATTTTTATCACAATGAAATAATAATAACGATATTGTTATGAACAATGATTTTTTATAATACATGTATGTATACATGTTAACCAAATTTTATTAGAAATTAAACATACTCGAAGGATAATACTAACTAAAACTGTTATATCCAACAATAGAAAAAAGCACACAGACGAATTGGCTAACACGTAAACACCGTCTAGAGTTTTTACAACGCAATAAACAAAATACCTTAGCCTCGCGAGAAGGAAACTCAGAAATGGGAATATTTTCATTCATAATATGGGATTAGATTTCAGTACTGGTAGGATGGTCGAATGTTTATTATTTAATTGTTATTTAAAGAATAGTCGAATCACACTTATTACCTAAATTGAAATGGTTAAACTACACTTAGATCAAAAAAGTTAGTATTTATACCTTTATAATAAATATATGATTTTGTATTTTTACTGAATAATCGTTTTAATAAGGTTATATTAAAAAACGTTTTTTTAACTGTATTTTCAATAAAATTGTAGTTTTAAAAAAATAAAGTAAACGTATTATATATATTGTTATTTTATTATATTATTTTTTGCTTTGTGCTTTGTGTCTTGAAAAAACGATCACTCATTAAAAATTAAATTATTTTTTCAACTATTTTTCTTAAACCAAGTGCGTTTCGACCAGTATCTTTTTAACACAAGTGCGAGATATGACTAAAATAAGTAATATTCAACTTTATCTAGTTAGAAAAGTTTTATCGTAGTCTGTATAAGCATTTTCAATCTTGTCTCTATAAACCATATAAGAAACACCAAATTCAAATATCTTATTTTTATTATATTAAGTTTACATAGTAAAATAAAAGAATAAGAATAATTTATTATTTTATTTAAAATGCTTTCAATTGTTTAAAATATTCATTATTCTCGTATTATACTATGTTGTTTTACTTTTAACTCATTTTTCAAACTAATAATTATTGCTTTATCTTCAGTTAAAAAGAGGCTTTTTGTATTTCAATATTATTCATCGTCTCGTGACATTACATTTTAAAAATTTATTTTTATTTTTTATGTTATGTTATTGCAGATATCAGGAGTTAGACTCGGCCAGAAACTCAGTAAATCAGAAATACTTAAAAACCATGCAACCGAATGTTGTACATTTACATGAAAAAATTAACAAGTAACGTATAACAAATTATTTGCGAAATCATATCTTGTATGAAATAATTTATCTAGTTAATATATAACTTTTCAATTATATATATATATATATATATATATATAAATCTATTATAAATATTATATTTTCTATATTTAATTAAAATAATTATAATATAATCTCATATATATTTTTGCTATGTGTACAATAATTTTATGCTATATAATAATATAATTTATTTTGCTCTAAAAATATTTGAAGATGCAATTTTTTTTTTATAAATTTTAATACTTATATTCAGATTTAAAAAGAGTCACATAATTTTAATATCTTTTTATCATAATTATTTGTTATTTATTAATTTAATGTATAATCCTAAGCCTTATTTTAAAATTTGTACTTCCAGCTACTCAATTAAATAATAGATAATAAAAGATTATATAATAAAGATTATTAAATTATTTGTAACGTTTAATATTTATTTTGTATGGAAATTAAAAGAGAAACTATTAAGATAAATTTTTTGTGGAAAAAATATTGGAGTCATAAAAATTAATAAGATTTAATATGTTTAGTTTGAAATAGTATAAAAGTGAATGTTTTCGACCTCAAAAATTAAGCGCAGTAAAATTACAGGTTATATAAATACATCTGTGTGCATCTTTATGACTACACTACTTTTCTATGTATTATATCGACTACCGTATACAATTATTGCCAATAAAAATAAATTATACATTTTGTCAGTAAGTAGATATTATTTTATCTGTAATCTGAATTCTTTCAAATATTTACATAAGCATTTATATCGTGAGGTCGAGATTTTATGATATGAATACAACACACCGCATACACATAATTCTTCGTGGCAGGTATGTTTGTTTAATGTTTTTAGCATTATAAATCAAGAAAATGAAAAACGAATTATTTTAGTATTACTGGTAGTATTTGATATGTTTACTAAAATACAGTGAGAGTAAATTATTCATAAAAATTCCAAACAGCATAAATATGTTAAAATTAAATAATATTACTATGATTTTGTATTGCTATTTGAAACTAAAATATAAATAATATTATAATATAAAAATGTAAAAACTGAATGATTAAAAGCTTAGTAAATAATTTTAAATACTTCATGAGTGATATATTTCTTTGTGTGAATTTGTATTAATCTGTGAATTAAACCAAGGAAGATGTAACTGTATAGTTCTTTTACATTAGTTGTAAAATAATTTAAAGTTATTAAATTTAAATAACTTATTTGACAGTAGTTCTATAAGCTTGTTTATTGTTAATATAAACTTTTATTATATGATTAGTGGAGTGTATTTATTAAATAAATTAGTTGTATATAAATGGACTTTATTTTAATTTTAACAGTGGATGTGTTGAATTCAAAGAAATTCAAAAATTGACGAAATTATCAAGTTATTGAAATTATCGTTATACTATTTAGATTCATTAGATATAATCATTACTTTTACAAAGAAATTTCAGAATGAAAAATGATTTATCTGATTTAAAATTATTTAATAAGATTTTCTTTTAATCCTTATTTCATTATGTGTGTAAAATATTATTTTTAAACGTCAATATTAAGCTCAAGAAACAGTGAAATATTGTAAAGTTTTTTATAGAAATTTAAATAAACTTACAAAATAGGTAAATAATGACTGTTATGTATTTGAAAATGTTATTAATGTTAGATTAATAAAAGATGTATTGTGGCTACAATATATCTTTTCAATCAAGAGTTATGATTAAAGACCGGATTTGATAGATATTGGAACTTTTTATTGATACCAGATAAATCAAATCTGATCAAATATCTATACGAATCAGATTAATTACAGACTTCCTACTTAATTTAATAGTGTAATTTTTTACAATTTTCAACGATATCGCATGTTTTGCAATTATTGCAACTTATTTTAAAGTTATGACAGGAAATCAAAATATTAATTTAGATATATTTTTTTAAATAATTTTAAATATGCATCGATAACAAGTGTAGACGTTGAACATACTTTTTCATTGCATAAAAATATTTTAAGTAATACACGATACATGTTTCAATAACAGGATTTAGAAATATATTTAATTATAAAATTCAATTCAGAAAAACTATATATTTTGTATATACTGTGTTAATGTCCATGATATTATTTAATTGAGTAATTAATGAAAATATTTGATATGATTTTACTATGTAATTTTAATATATTTTTCATTGCAATTTTAATATTTTTATATTGCAATTTTGGCATATTTTTAATGCAATTTTAAAATATTTTTATTGCAATTACATCCGGTCTTTAGTTATGATGTTATTGTTGCTACGGAAAATAGTTAATATGAATGTTATTTGTATATACACACCAGTGGTGTATACAGAAAATATTTTCGGGAGGGACTACAATGGACAGAGTTAAATTACCACTACTATTTAAGAATTACTAACAAGACACAGTAAGTATTTATCTAAATTTCATTTACAGAATGTCCCAAAACGATTTGATTTCAATATAATCGTTCCAATGTACGATTTGAATTTGATCTTTTATGCCAAATGTCATTAAATTCCTTATGTATCTTCTACAATGTTATTCCTGCGCACATATACTTCATGAATAGTATCAGAATGGCGGCAAGCAAATTAAATTTATATTAAAAAATAAAAATGTATTGTATCAAATTAAGAAAATATGTTATGTTATATATGGACGAATATAATATAAGGTATATTTTCGTATTTTGTCCGTGAATATTGTTTAGACGTATTATACAATTATATAGTTTAATGTATTTTTTTTATTTTTAATTTTTAATGGAATACATACAATCCGTAAAGTTTTTTTACATATCATTATTTATTATTATTATATTATCATATTTGAAGTAAACATAGTTTAAAGTTGAAAATATAATCTAATATTTTTTAAATATTTTCTTTTGATTTATTTATTTTATACTTTATACTTTATATTATTTTAAAAATTGTACCTTTTTTTGTCGTTCAAAATCATAATCCATAACGATAACAGTCAACTATTTTGTAGGTATTAAGAGTTGATTAAAATCGTATGATTTTTTTGTAAACAAAATTCAAACAAAACTTGCTTTCTTATTATTAAAATACACATATTTAATTATTTTTGAAGTATAATCAAAATAATACATTAATATAGTATTATAATAAATTTTGTGTATTACTTACATATGTAGCAAAAAATATCGAAAGGCACTCGATGGATGTGAATGCATTTTAATAAGGAATATGATTGTTCATTATTGTTAAAGAAATCATAGCAATTTAATCTCAACATTTCAATATTATTATACATTTTATTGTAGTGTAATGTTTAAAATAGAAATAATGAATAGGTTTTTAATTTAAGTGTAAAATATTTCAAACTGTTTTTGTATTAACTTGTATATAACAATACGCATATTGTAATGTTCTTATCCATAAATATTGGAAGTATAATATGTGCATGTAATATTTTTCAAAAATTATATTTTAAATAAAATATTATCGATTGTGAAAAAGTAACGAATTTATTAAATATTATAAGTATAATATAGTTATGTTTTTCTGCACAACTATACAACATATTTTTCATCTCATATTATTTTTAATGTATATTTATAATTTGTTATCAACTGAAAATATCTTCTTTATTCGGACATAACATGTTAATAACGTCCAAATTAAATAACAACCAAGCTTATTTAGTTATTTAGCTATTTATAATAGACTAGCTATGTTGTGGACAACAGAATTGTGATCGACATCTAAATTATTCTAGGTTATCGTGATTGACCAAAAAAAAAAATATTAACATATAAAAAAATTATTATAAAATGATTGAGTATAAATATATTTTTTCATATATGTTGCATGTTACACTTCCTATATTTCTTCTATTTAAAATATTAATAAGTAATAATAACTTCAATTTTACAATTTCACATAACTGTATTTTATTATATTTTTCATCAATTTATATGAACGAAATAAACACAACGGTGTTTATTTAATTATATTTAATACGGAATATCCATTAGATTACGTACATATACCCACATAGCTACTTGATCTCAGTGTATAATTTCGTTCTTCATAGTTTTTTAGTACTATATATTGTATTAATTAATTGTTATTAATCTAATTTTAATATTTGTGGGTTAAACAAAAATATAAAAATTATCATTATAAAAAATTTAATTTTTTTCTGAAATAAATAAAAAATAAATTAAAGAAAATCACAATCGACTTGAACTCATGTCGCGATTAAGCTGTTGGCCACCCCTGTTATATAGCACAAGGCATATATGTTCAGAGTACGGAAAGTTTTAATCTACATATATTATTTCTCTTCTTCATCTGTTTGAGACTTGCAATGTTTTGTAATTAGTGAACTATATGAACAATATTTAATTATAATGAAATCTAAAATTTGAAATTTTTTATGAACAGGTAAGTAATTAACATCTGAGATACTGATACGAAAATAATTAAATGAAGAAGAGAATCATACTATGTATAAGTATTTATTATCGACCAGCGACGTTATAAATTTAAAATGTATTTGTCGACAGAAATTAGTACCACGCTCGAATGAACACCTAACATGTTATACAAAGTATACCCCATGGCGTTTAAACTTTTTTTTCGGTTGTTAGTGATTGAGTTTCTATAGTTTTTGTCATTTCAAAAATTACAAACACCATGGGATGCCCTGTTTAAGCGGAAAAAAAATATAGACTTCATTCAATATTGTTTTTATTTTATTTGGTAGGCAAACGGTATGTTTTATTACAGTAGTTGGATGATATGTTTTTTAGTGTAATACTCAGTAATATAATTAAAATTATTTTTTATTATTCTATTAGAATAAGATATAATAAGTTTTGAACTAGGTAATTCAGGTAATTCATATTTATTTGAGTTAAAAAAAAAAAAAAAAAATCAGAAGCAAAAGTGCAATATTAATTAGTAATTATTGCATATATATTTAATATGTATTATCTTT